CATAAAGGATCTGAACATATGATCTTCCACCAAATAAACCAACTAGCATCAACTACAAGGAGTAATCAACACTACTAGCAACCCACAGGTACCAATCTGAGGTTTTGGGACAAAAATTGGATACAAGAGATGAACTAGGGTTTGAGAGGAGATGGTGCTAGTGAAGATGTTGATGGAGATTGACCCCCTCCCGATGAGAGGATCGATGGTGATGACGATGGTGATGATTACCCCTCCCGGGGGGATATTTCCCCGGCAGAACAGCTCTGTCGGAGCCCTAGATTGGTTCCGCCAAGGTTCCGCCTCGTGGCGGCGGAGTTTCGTCCCGAGAGCTTGCTTATGATTTTTTTCAGGGCGAAAGACTTCATATAGCCAAAGATGGGCACCGGGGGCCCACGAGGCAGGGGGCGCGCCCCCACCCTCGTGGATGGTGGGTGCCCCCCCTCTGGTGCTTCCTTCGCCCAATATTTTTTATATATTCTGAAAATGACTTCCGTGGAGTTTCAGGACTTTTGGAGTTGTGCAGAATATGTCTCTAATATTTGCTCCTTTTCCAGCCCAGAATTCCAGCTGCCGACATTCTCCCTCTTCGTGCAAACCTTGTAAAATAAGAGAGAATAGGCATAAGTATTATGACATAATGTGTAATAACAACTCATAATGCAATAAATATCGATATAAAAGCATGATGCAAAATGGACGTATCAGCGACGTGTCTGGAAGATAGCCGACACTAGATGGAGCTCCCAGCAAGGTCACAGAGGTCGGGGAAACTCGAGAGGCAGCAAATCGACCGCAATGACAGATGGTCGGAAGCGAGAAAGATGAGCTCGATTCAGTCGATTTTGGGCATCATCCATCAATCTAGTCAGCATTTGAGCTTTTTGGGGCACAAAGGCCCTGGTAGACAAGGTTTGGTGACGAGGACTGGAGGCCAGCCGCATAGATGCAAACGGTTAACCTTGTATGCGTGCTCTGGACGCCGGAGTGAAGCAAGGGCAGGAGGAGGACATGTGGGCTCTAGGGAGGCGTGGATGGACCGGGTAGATGAGGCGGACCGAGCGGCACAAGTAATATGGTTGGGGTGACCTAGGCTTGCCGGAGAGCGGCCCGCGTGGGTCGGAGATGGTTGCTTCCGGTCACTCGTATGTCGTCGACAATCCACCAATCGATGTTGAAAGATCGTGGATGTCGCCTAGAGGGGGGGTGAATAGGCGCTTTAAAATAATTACGGTTTAGGCTTGAACAAATGCGGAATAAACCTAACGGTTAATTTGTCAAGCACAAAACCTAAAACAACTAGGCTCACCTATGTGCACCAACAACTTATGCTAAGCAAGATAAACTACTTAGGTGATAGCAAGATATATGACAAGAAACAATATGGCTATCACAAAGTAAAGTGCATAAGTAAAGGGCTCGGGTAAGAGATAACCGACGCACGCGGAGACGACGATGTATCCCGAAGTTCACACCCTTGCGGATGCTAATCTCCGTTTGGAGCGGTGTGGAGGCACAATGCTCCCCAAGAAGCCACTAGGGCCACCGTAATCTCCTCACGCCCTCGCACAATGCAAGATGCCGTGATTCCACTAAGGGATCCTTGAGGGTGGTCACCGAACCCGTACAAATGGCAACCCTTGGGGGCAGTCACCGAACCCGTACACTTTGTCAACCCTTGGGGGCAGTCACCGGTACCCATCAAATTGCTCGGGGCGATCTCCACAACCTAATTGGAGACCCCGAAGCTTGCCCGGAGCTTTACACCATGATGATTGAGCTCCGAACACCACCAACCGTCTAGGGCAAACCTTTGCCTTGCACATGGTCCACTTGAGCTAGATGAAGACGATCTTGACTCCCTCAAGTTGGACCACCTTTCTTGATTGGGTTGACTTGATGAAGACTAGTTGATTGCTCCCCCATACTCCACTATGGGTGAGCCACTCTTCCGCACATCTTCACAAGTCCATTGTCACCACAAAGGACGGCAAGCTTCAAGCATTTGATCTCTTCGTGATGCTCAACTTGAACTTGCACACCGCAACCTAACCCCATAAAGAACCCTCACAAAGACCATGGGTTAGTACACGAAGCGTAATTGACAATGCTTACCATACCATGGGATCACTTGATCCCTCTCGGTACATCTTCTACGCTTTGTGGGTTGGTCAACTTGATTCACTCTTTGACTTAGTCTTGATCAACCTCTCACAAGACCAATCTTTAGGTAATTCCTTGAATAGCACCTTGGTCGACACAAACTCTCCTTGAAACCAACACATGTACTCCAAGAAAAGCCCATGGACAAAAACCTTCAAAAATAACTCAAGGCAACCATTGGTCCATAGAGATTGTCATCAATTACCAAAACCAAATATGGGGGCACCGCATGTTCTTTCAGATGTGCAAGTGAGGGGGTTGGCCGCGCCGAGTGACGAAGATCATTGATCATTCCTCTCGGCGATGCGGGCTCGGGATGAAGCGGGATGGCGCGGTTCCTGTTTGCTGCGTGCACGACGAGCGGCGCCAGCAGCAAGAGAGAGAAAGATATTAACAGGTGATTTTTTATTTTTAATAGGTGGGCCCATTTCTCATTGATCAAATACAACTCGTCCATGTCAGCATTTGATCGGGAAAAACCAGCCATGGACGTTTTTGACCGGTATGAAATAGTTGAAGGGGTGAAGGGAGCATAAATAAACATTAGGGGGTTACGTGAACCACCAAATTTGTTCAGAGTAGTAAAATGAACTTTCAATGTAGTATAAAAGATTTCATAGGAAAAGATTTCTATAAGATCCAATCCTATGAATCAAAGGATCAACAAAGAAAAAATCTTAAGGATTTCAATCCTCCAAAAATACTACAGAATTCCTTTGAATCAAAGGAGTCCTGGTGTTCTGAAGTGAAAAACTTGGTACTACTTTTTTTTCTTGTATTTTCATCTTCCTATGGTTGTACTTTAATTGTGGTACTGGAATGCACAACTTTTAGGTGACCGCAATTTGAAAGAGTTTTAGGCGACCGAGACCATGATAAGTGCCCTTCTGCGCATCGTATTTCGTTTTGCAAAATGGCAATCAAAATGTCGACTAGAAATGGAGCTCTAAATAAATCCTTTGACAAAAGCCGGAAAATGAGAAAAAGGAGAGTGATCTTGCTAAAGGAAATGAAAAGGAAGTAGTAGCTCTGCAATTTCTACTCCAAAATTTAGAATTCATGCTCGGCTCGGCATTCAGGCCCTCGTTCAAAGAGCTGGAATACCTTAGAGCATCTCGAGCACCCCTAAAATGGGCAGTTCACAAAAAAGCCTTTTAAGCTCTAAAATTAGGCTCTAAAAACCGTCTATCGGAAGACTATTCGAGTTTGAAGAACCATTTGAAAATTATGTGTGCCAGCCCAGATAAAAATTCACGCGTGGAGAACGTTACTTGGAGCCATCCCTTGCCTTGTAATGAATAATCTTTGCTATCAAACTATCTTTACAACATTTTACAGTGAAATCTTATTGAAAACTACTTGTAAATTCCTTATGTTTATCGTTGGGTTCAACACTCCTATTTATCGAAAAAGGTTAGATAGATCCTCTATGCTTGTGGGTCATCAGCGCCCCATGTTCGGTGGCTCCTCCAGTTGTATAGGGTTTGCCGATAACGTGCTCCAGTTGGGTAACATGACACATGACCAAACACGTCGCCATGAGCCGAGTTGTGAGAGCTCAAGAATGAGCGACATCACCCAAAGCTTTACAGGGTCCGCTTCGCCATCTATGGGCCCTCTAAATGACCAATAGAGACCGCGGGTTCACTGTCTAAGACTTTACACATTTTATTGAGAAAAATGTGCATCGATGTTGTGGGTTATTTCAAATAAATAAATAAAAGAGGGTATTCGTAAGCGGCGAGTGGTCTTAGCAAGACTGCAAGCACGATTAGAGCTTGCATCGCTAGCTCTCCAAATGACCAATAGAGACCGCATGTTAAGTGTCTAAGACTTTACATGTGTTTTCTGAGAAAATTGCACATCGATACT